CGTAATTTTAAATCTAGGGTGACAATATAATGCAGCCACTCTAAATTTCTGCTTAGTCGAAGTGATCTGAACCGCTGTCATTTGTATTTCCTCAGTTTGCATCTGGTGCAGATCGCAATGCCCCACATTTCCTTTTATTATTATCGCCGTTCCGCCCTTCGCTATATTTCCAGGATGGTTCGAGTTGTAAATTCTATAACCCGGAAACCGAATCCTGCTTCTTAAGGTCATATGTGTTTCAGTTACGAGGCACACGTCTATATTCTGTGTATGCAGAAAAACTTCAAGCATGTCCTTTTTATTTGCAATACCATTGCAATTCCATGTTGCTATTTTAAAATTACCTCGTGCCATCATTTACCAGGTCTTTTGGTATTCGATTTTTTCCCTTCGCTCTCTAAAATACTCAGTCTCTGAAAGATTTTGTCCAGCATTTCTAGCATGTTCTGCATCATATTTTGCATTTTATACAAAACATTCACATCACTGGCCCTTGTTTTATTGCTCGTGCCACCGTCATCAGTTTTCGTTTGGAGAACGTCCCTGTATGTTACATCTTTTGAGACTATTCTCGAGGTGAATTTCCTCGGTGGCCGTTCAGAATTCTTCAGGTTGTTGTTGCTGTTCAAATTTCTACGTTTTTGCAGTTCCTTATCTACAGGGCATCCCCTATAGTTTGTTGGGTGGGCCTCCAAGCAATTGGAACACTTTGCTGCAGTACCCTTTGGCTTACTGCAATCTGATGTTAAGTGCCTGCCTGCACATTTAACACAATTCGGTTCTCTCTGGCAGAATTTTTGTTTATGCCCATACCTTTGACACCTTTTACACTGCGGAATGGTCCTGTCCTTTCGAAGTGCCTCTATCCTAACTTTCATCCTGTTTATGTAATCAATTTCATAAATTTTTTTCATCTCTTCTTCATTTGAGAATGTTAACATAAACAGCGGTAGAGGTACCATAATGTTTTTCCCATTTTCTTTCATTTTTTTAATTTTATTGGTTACATCTAAGATCTTGTAACCCCTAGAGCTTAGGTCTTCCTTTATATCTTCCGCTTTACAACTGGGGTGAAGACCTCTTACCATGACTTTTATTGGTCTGGTCTGCTTGTTTTCATAGGTATGCCATTCTAGTCCAGATCCATTCATGGCTCTGGTAAGATTCCTGTAGTCCATTTCGGAATTTACAATAAGCTTAAATTGATTGTTGTTCATCATTTTAACCTTATAATTGATGTCCTTATTTTTTAATGTTGACTCTATTTTATTATAGTCAACCACATTACTTATGACTACTGGAGGCGGCCTAGAGTTTTTCGTGACATTGCCTCGACTTTTAGAATCAGGAACATATTTTGCCGAATATAAAAAATTTGCTTTTGGAGTTGTATGGCAGCCACCCGAACCGGTGCAGCTGTCCCATTAAAATTTTTAGAGCATATGTAGAATATGATTGGACACATGTATACATAATTTTATATTTGTACCTTTATAGTTTTTGAAATATTTAAAATAAACTCTTTGAGTTTAATGGCAGCTACCCGAACCCGTTGCCCGAATTGGCTCAATAACAATAGGGCTCGTCCTTGGCACAAGAGAAACAACTAATGAAAGTTTGGTGTCGATTGCGTTATTCGTTTTTGAGTTATCGTGCGATCGGACGGACGGACATGTCTAAATCAACGCAGAATTTTACGCTGAGCGAGAATATATATATATGTACATACCGCAGATGACTCCTTCAAGTAGTTACAAAATCCATACCAAAGTTAATATACCCTTCACGAAGTGCAGGGTATAAAAAGGATAATACAGTGAATAAAAAAAAATTTGGTGCTATATTTTTTAGTCTAGAATACGCGACTTTAAATAAAGTTAATAAAAATTTTATTACATTTTAATTTAAGTTTGTAATTATTTGATTTTCAGTTTTATAATTGTTACAGTGCTTAAATAATCAGTGCTTAAATAATCACTATAAAACATGCGACGTTTCAAGATGTCCCCTATATAAAAACAAACATAATAAAAATATTAAAAAAAATTTACATATGCAATAATTTTTAAAAATTACTGCATATGTAGATCCTTTTTACGAATTATGAAAAGAAAGAACATCCACCTCAGGTACGAATCTGAGAGAATTAATAAAAATGTTAACGTAATACACTGATTAAAAAAAAGTGGGTGTTTTAATAAAGTTAATAAAAATTTTATTAGATTTTAATTTAGAATTTAAGTTTGTAATTATTTAGTTTGTAATAATTAAATTGAAGATACATGAAAGATATGGTGTGTACAAAATCAATTGTAATAATTGCGATAAATTTTACATAGGACAAACGAAGAGACCCGTTACAACAAGACTTAAGGAACATTTAAGTGTAATAAAACATGCAAGGAGAGTAGGATTTAACAGGATTTTCGATTCTATGGTTGTAAAACACATTTATGAAACGCAGCACACAATCACGGAAGATAATTTAAAGGTATTAAAAGAGGTAAAAGGAAAACACAGGAGAGAAGTTCATGAAAGCATACAGATATACAAATCAAACAAGGACTGCCTACTGAACACGGACGAAGGTTACGCGGCTACTTGGCTCTTTAAATTAATTATTTGACCAGTTTTAAGGTTTAAAAGAGGTATAAATTTAGTTTGTAACTAATAACAAAAAAAATATATATATGTATATATAAATAAATAATCAAATTCTAGATTAAGTCAGGTAGATAATTATATTAAGTCAGGTATGTATAATATTCCTAATTTTAATGGATTTCAATTTCTATTGTTTGTTGTCTTAATTAGAAGAAAATCAGCTTTGATAAAGTGCGTATGTAGCGAAGTTTTCTTTTCATACCAATAAAAAAAAATTATATTTCGGAAATATTATCAACTATTGAAAAAAATTTTCTGTATAATTTACGTAATATTCTTCTTTTCAAATGCAATAAATTTTGTTTGTTGCACTTTGATCGCTTTGCCAAATTCAAATTGTTCAAGAAAACTAATTTTCACCATTTTACTTTAAAACTTCTGATAGTAAATCTCGTTAGAATTTAGTATGTCACCGTTCAACAGACTCTGATAAAATATAAATAATGTTTGACTATTTATATAAACAGCTTTTTTCGGTTATGTGTAGTACTTAAATCACGGCTGACAAAAATACAGTCCTGGACCCTAAGAGAGAATGAGTGTGCAAACTGTTTCGGGTGTAGTATGTTGCTTTTTAAAAAACTTGAAATCATTTTTTTAATTATTTCTAAAATTTTTGGAAAAGCACTTAAGATTTAAATGGCCCGATAATTCATGGGATCTGTTGCGTCACCGCCCTTAAATTTTAAAAGGTGACGGAAAGATTTTAGGTGACCGAAACAAAGCACTTGTTCATAACGTTGGAGATGCTCTCCTTTATTTATTTGATTTGGCCAGCCATCTCCTGCGGCTCCCTATTATATTCGCACTTTGCACAATCCTGGTTGAAAAATAAAAAAGTTTTGCATTTTTAACAAGAAACTTGACCCTATTTTTATACTTTTGTAGTAATTTCTTAATATGTTGGTCATTTGGAATTTTTCTTTTTTTACTTTAGACAGGAATCACGAATTTTAATTGCCTGTAGAATTTAGTCATCCATTCATTTTTTCGCTTGGAGCTTCTTTGAGAGATAGTACTGGTGTATTAGTTTGTCAAACTAGTAACATTACTAACCATTCCAAATACACTTACTATAAGAAGCTGATGTGAGAAGGCGGTGTCCATTACATAAAAACAATAGGACGAATTGACCAGATTCGTGCTGAAATGATTAATAATTGTCCCTGTAGTTTCACTGGTGGCAGGGCTAATACCAATATTTGTAGCATACATCTCCGAGATCCTGTTCATTAAAACGAAGCCATTACCCATCAACATGCTCGAAAGTCCCTAATGTCATTCGAATTATATGTAATAAATTAAAATTAAAATCTTTAAAAATAATAATTTTTATTTATTTCAATTTCTCAAAAAGAGTTGTGTTATGTTTTTGCAGAAAAAAGTTTAGGATAAAATGTATATATATACATAAACATACAATACATTTATGCTTTCTAAGCTTAATATACAAAAATTTAAAATATTTAAATGAAAAATTACAATATACAAGATATCAAAAACTTATATAATAACGTAATAAAAAAAAATAAAATAAAAAGAAGCGAGATATTTAAACTTTAAGATTTTTCTATCACAAAAATCAAATATATGAACTAATTTTCCTTTTAAACTCTGAAAAATTTAAATTTTTAAGGCTGGTCGGAATTTTGTTGTACTCTTTGACATCTTGATTGTAGACGTTTCTTGCTCCTGTTGTCATAGTTCTAATGCTTGCTGCAGATCTAGTATTGTGCAAGTGCGTATCAATTCTTTGAATGAGGTTGGTGTTTGAAAGAATTTTTTCAAGATGAACTTTGTGTACCTATACGCTCTATTTGTAATTTTGTGTATTGTTTGTATATTGAATTTATATTAAACATTTGGTAAAGCTCAAATGTGTGTGGTCTTTTATTTAATTTAAACAAATTTTTAATCGCTTTATTTTTGTAATGTACTCAATTTTGATATTCTTTGTTTTGTACTATTTCTCTAAATCAATATGTGGATTTTTTTAGAGCAAGTGGTACTGTCTACTAATTTATAAAATATTCCTACGATTTTTAGAAGCATATTATGTATTTTGTTTTTGAAGAATTTATTGTCAATTTATGTTTATTGATTATTTTTAAGGTATGTTTATTTATTTTATATTTGATTTTATTTTTTGTTCTTGCATAGTTATTATTACTATATACTATAGCCAGACCGTTTCTATTTCGTTAACGTATAATAAAAAAAGCGTAGGACCTAAGGAACTACCCTGAACAATTCCAAAATCAACTGCTCTTGTAACACTTTTAATTATTTGTACTTCAGTGTATTGGGTTGTATTGCTTAAATAGTTCTTAGACCAATTAATTATATGCTGTGCCGGTAATACCATTGTTATATAGAATTCTTAATAATAAATTTCCATCTACAAAGTCAAATGCTTTGGATAAATCAAAAAATATAATTCCAACTTTCTTTTTGCTGTCTAGTTTTTTCTCTGTATATGATATCATATCAAATACTGAAGTTGTTGTATTCAAATTTTTTCCAGATCCGTCTACTACTAATAATCCCCTCTATTATGTATATCGGTATCGGCCGATAAACGATAATTTATTGGCAAAATTTTGCGTTTGTATTACCAACATTGTTTATCGGTAAATTTTATCGGAGTCGGGAAAGCTTTTTTTTCCTGTATAGGAAACGTATTAGCTGGTATTATGAAAACGATAAATTGTCGATTTTTTTTTTGTAAAATTTTCATTTTATCAAGGAAACTGGTGTAATTACTTGCTTTTTTAAAATGTAAGCATTTTTTCTAAATTATTTTCTTTCAAAATGTTATTCATATATTTTATTTAGGAGTAAAATCGTAAGCAACAAAAAACAAATTGCGCGGTTAGTAGAAAAAATGAAAGAGGACTTAAACCTGGCAAGGAATGATAATCTGAATTTTTGGATAAACCTAAAAAATGTGTACATATTATATAAATAATAAAATAAAATAGGTACATAAACATACATTTTGTTGTCTAAATCCAATGGATTAGTTGAATCTCTTATATGTCGTCTTTGAATAGCTTGCGTTTCTTCACTTACTACCGTTTCTTCACTTTCAAAATATAATTCACGTGACATTTTCCCGATAATGTATATTTTTTATTTTACAAATTTAACAGAAAATAATTTGCTTACAACAACTTTTTAGCACATCAAAACCAAATTCAAAATAGTTTTAAAAATTTTTTGAAAATAACTTTTGAAAGAAAACAAATGTCATTAGAAAAAAAAACTTTTTCTCCAATTTACAGAAATTTGTATTTCATACAAAAATTTGTATGAAAAAGCTTCTTTTAATCGGTTGAAAGAAGAAACCCAAAACCGGTTGACAGAAGAAACCCAAAACCGATTAGAACTGCCGATAATATATCGGCCGATACCGATGTTCATAATAGAGGGGATATTATTTCTATTTAAGTAGTCCGATAAGTAATCATTAACTATGCTTTCAATTATTTTACTTATTATTGAAGATATGAGTATTGGTCTATAGCTGCTAGTATTACCCTCATTTTTCATCTTCGGTACCTTCACCACTTTATTTATTTTTAAAGGTTCAGGAAATATAACTTCAACAAATGAAGTATATATCAATGACGTCAAGTAAGGAGATAATTCACAGCATTTTTTGAATATTTCAGCACAAAAACCATCATTACCACAAGAGTTTGTATTTTCTAGTTTAGTTATGTATTTCTTTACAGTACGAATTAACATTTTCAAAACGAAACCTATAATTCGGTAATCTACTTTATACTAAAATTTCCGGTTTTATGTTTTTAGCTAATTCTTCACCTATAGTACATATATATGTACATAATTCTTCACCTATCTATAGTATACATATTGTGCTATAGAATTTATTAAAATTATTTAATTTGTCTATTTTTTCTTCGCTAGTCAAAGTGTTTTTAAAAAAGTTATGTTCATTATTTCGATTTTGATTTCGAGTTATAGTTATGGGTTTTTTTATTATCTCAAATTGTTTTTGGATTACCTTTACATTTGTCAAATTTTGTTCCATAACAGGCTTCTTCTTTTTTTTTCTTCTAAGACTTGTCAATTTATTTAGCCAATACTTATAATTTCTCTTTAAATAGTCATTTTCGAAATTTTTAGTTAACTTGTCATGTCAATAATTTTTAGTTTTTATTAATTCTATTACATCATAATCAATCTAAGGTTTGAAAATTATCATCAAATTTCATATTTGTCATTTGTACTCAATAAATTATGCTCTACATTAAAAATTTCACTCACTTTTAATTTATTACTCAATTTAACATAATCAATTCTCTCGTAAATTACACTTGCATTGCAGTTATACCTATTATTGTGTTGTAATTATTGGTGCAGGCATTTGTTTCTATAAACATTGCGTCATGGTATGATATATCATATTTTAATTGAATAAGATTTACATACATATGTTTAAGTTTATGTTGTTTGTTAGTATATGATCGATGCACGTGTTAGATGCACATAGGCGGTCGCGTTATTTGCTTGTTGCAGAAGAAGTAACCATTTCTTTTAATAAAGTTTTTATAATTTTCGACGTGCAAATCGTATTTATCGAGTTTATTAAAGTTAAAATCTCCTACTATTAAACAATTTTTGTGGTTCATTTTATTTAAAAATTCGTCAAGGGTTTTATAGAAACTGGCAATATATTGAACGTCTTGTATTGGTGGTCTATATAATATACATATGTACATGTGATATTATAGTCAAAGATATTTTTTAATTTTAAATTTATGTTTGTTAGGCTAGAAATATCACGCTATGTTTTATAAGTGATACTTTTATGAATAAAAATTCCTGCATCACAACCCCTTCTATTTTTCCTATATTAAAGTGCTTGGGGAATATCATGGTATCAGAATATCATCCCGTTCATCGTCTTTAATTCAAGTTTCAGTGAGCATTATGATATGGATAATACGTGGAACAGAATCAAGTATTAAATGTAAGTCGTCAGTTTTATTTCTTAAGCTTCTTATATTAATGTATAGAATTTTAAGTGAATTACTCTCATAAAAAATTAGTTTATTCAAATTATTTATAAACTTATTTTGGGGATCAAAAAGCAATATATAATTTTCCTGGCTATTAAATGACGTCATTGAAAGAATCTATATCGTAAATTTTAATAGTTTTTGACTTTTCTTTTTTTTTAATAAATATGTTGCCATCCCTTACCCATGCAAATTTAATTTTTGTGTTAGGATATCGACTTTTGTTGTAATCGTCAGGTAAATTAAAAAATTGTTTTCTTCTTTCCTCAAGCAAATTTCGGATAGAACTATAATATGAATTTTAAATAAAATATTTTTGTGTTTTTTTTTTAAATAATTTTATAGAAACACGACGAATAAAAGAACAGAAGTAAAAAAGTTGTTAGCTTAAAGTTATTTCAGGTTAGGTTAATCATGTTTTTCCTTGTACGTACTGCAGATTTTTGGTAGAGGTAGTACCTATTGTTTAAATAATTAGAGTAAAATGAAAATTATTATTTAAAACGAGAAAAAATAGGGCTTACGGTATTAACTCAGTTATACCCGCATGAATTTATTATCCTATGTACGAGTTAATATGCCTTGGCCGACTATGAGACTTACCGTTACCTTAAGTTGCCGTATTACTATATTCGTTTATGAGAAATTTTAGCACTATGATTTCAATATTTTATAAGATATGGCCAAACTACTATTAAAGTTGTTGGCAGCAACTACAAGCAGTCAAGAAATTTAAATGATTTTTATTACACATAACATTGATTTCACGAAACTTCTATATTGTAGGTATAATAATTTTTAAGATAATGCCAAATAACTTTTGGAGTTTTATGACATGATATATAACCAAATTACTTTTCAAGTTATATATCTGCTACCAGTAGGAGCCAAGCAATTTCAACGACTTTTCGACATTGGTCCTGATAATATATTCGCTTGTGTGAAATTTCAATGTTATAGCTTCAATAGTTTCTGAGATATAGCCAAATAAATTTGAAAGTTGTATCGTAAGTACCCGAACCGATATCTCGATCATAACCAATTTAGATAGCTTTCTGGCATTTACTCTAACAAATCATTTGTAAAAATTTCATGAACTTAGCTCAATTAGTTTTTGAGTTATCGTTATGGCGGATGGACGGATTGACGGACAGACGGACAGACGAACAGACAACTCAGAATTAGAACATTGTTTCTTTGCGTTACAAACGGCAAGGCAAATTTAGTATACCCTTCGAACATACGCTCGTATGGGTATGAAAATTTTAGTGTAAGAATCAAATATTAAAAATTTTAAAAGATTAATTAATTTTGAATCATCAATTATAGCAAATCGGTAAAATTAAAAAAGCTTTTGTGAATATTTTCTGTGTACATAGATGTTTTTGTATTCATGTAATCAAAAATTAAAAACATAATATCAAAACTGTTATACATAAAAGAGTGAAAGTTAAAAAATAAAAGTTGAAAAAGTAAAAAAAAAAAGTTGAAAAAGTACAAGTTAAAAAATTTTCTAAATTTAAAAGCAAAAGAAATTTCGAAATTATTAAACTATAAAAGTGAAGTGTCAAAATTTTTATACAAAAATATTAATGTAAAAAAATATACTAGATAATAAATCATTGAAATCTATCTCAAAATAACATTCAATCTTTTGACAAATTTCAAGTTATTGATAGTAATTGAAAGCGATTGAAAAACAAATATAGAAATTTTCGCAAGCTTAAAATGTGAATAATTAAATAAATTCAAATATTATTCCAAATGAGTAATGTTTTAAATTTTTTGTGTTTACTCTTAGAACTAATTATTTTTTCACTTATTTAGATTGTGATCAATTTTAATTTGCCTCGATTCAAAATAAATTTGGGATTGAAATGGTGTCAATTTGCAAAAGGTTTTGCAATTAATATATCCTCATCTTTATATTAGCCTGTAGTTTGCTAACCATTTGCAGAATAATATCTCCTGGATTTGCGAGGTTAGGTGGGAGGCCTGCTCGAGCCACGTTGTTTTTAATAGGTTGTTACTGAGGAGTATTAATTAGGCTTTCAAAATTATTGAACTTGGTTTCCTGTTCCACAACCTCCAGTCGTTAATAGCCATATGACTTATAAACGAATATGAAATATCCAATAATAAGAATATAAATATGTAAGCGATATCTACCAAAGTGTCGGAAGAGGAGTCGCCACGGAAGTCGGCGTTCAAGACGTTTACGGCTGAATGTTCAAGACATTCAAAGAAGTCGCCAGTGACAAAAAAAATATAGTTTAGCGAAATTGAGGAAACCGTTTGTCAAGAAAAAACAGAGAAGGTTTTATAGAAAGAAGGTCTGAAGACAACAAATGTAAAACCTCTGAAGGTAAGTAAAAGGCCCATTACATCAGGAAAGGCACCAATGGACGATTCGCGTATAAGTGACTTAGAGAACCTCTGTAAGGAGCTTAAAGAAGAGATCTGCAAACTTAAGGCAGAAAATTTTAGATTATTGGGATAGCAAAATGCAGTTTCAAGTGGCAAACAGTTGGCTAGAACTCCATCACTCAAAAGAAAATTTTATTTTTATTTTTTTTTATTTATTTTATTTTTTATTTATTTACACCAAACAAGGTGCTAACATAATTTATATTAATTTACAAAAAAGAAACTTATTACATACAAAATACAAAAAAAATTGCTTATGCTTAATACAGGAAACAAGAAAAAAAAAAATATTACTAATATTTAACCTACAAACAATAAATACATAACTGCTGATGCAGCAAAATTAGAAATTTTAAGTATAACAAACAAAAGTGAATCAAAAGAAAAAACACAAATTATAACAAAGTACAATATAGTGTAATATGATATTATAAAAAATTTACTAAAAAAAGTCAAAAATGTTTCTACTTATGACAATAAAAAAAACTATAATTAGGTCAATGAATTACTTAAAAATTGTGGTAGGTTATGGTTAGTATAAAGTGTCAAGAATTTTTTTTTTGAAAGTGTTCTTGGAATATGTAGGTGAAAAAAGATAGCTAAAACGATTGAATACAGTACAACACCTATTAATGGGCTCATTTTTACCATATTCAGTTCTATGTGTCTGTTCTTTTAGAAATTTAGTGTGTCTAGTAGGCCTGACGTCATTATTGATAATCATTTTTCTTTTAATGAATTCGACATTTATAACGCCAGTTATAACGTCAAACGTGAAACACGGAGAAAGCATAGAACGGCGAGATTCAAGGCTAATCATATTTAGGGACTGCAGCCTAACTTTGTAGGAAGGGATACTGTGAAAGTCATGTGGATCGTAAAGATTTCTTAAAGCAAAAAGGAGAAATTGTTTTTGGACGGATTCAATTCTATTACTATGTGTTACAAAAGCGGGATCCCAAATAATACTGCCGTATTCTAAAATAGAGCGAACCAGAGAACAATAAAGTGATTTTGTAACACAGATATTGTCAAATTCTCTGGCTCTACGCTTTATGAATCCCAGCATCTTGTTTGCTTTGTAAATCATATAATCATAATGTGCATTAAAATTTAATTTGCTATCTAGAATGATACCTAAGTCAGTTATGTGGTCGACGCGTTCTAAGGTGGAGTTTTGAAGAGAATAATTTTGGCAAACGATTGAACGCTTTCGTGAAAAGCTGATAATATAACATTTTTTAACATTAAGGTCTAATTTATTAGCAATGCACCAGTTATCAAGAAGTACTAATTTCGTTTGTAGGTAGTTAGTATCAGATATATCATTTATAACGTGGCACATTTTTAAATCATCAGCGTAGGTTAGATGAGAAATACCCGATAGACAATGAGAGAGGTCAGAAATAAAGACATTGAAAAAAATAGGGCCTAGATGACTTCCTTGAGGAACACCGGAATGAACGCGAATAGGTTTAGATTTAATCCCCTGGAATTTAACGAATTGGGTTCTCCCCGAGAAGTACGATTTGAGCCAACCTAGTAGAGGGAACTTAAAACCAAAATTAACTAGTTTACGCTCCAAGGTATTGTGATCGATGCGGTCAAAAGCTTTACTGAAATCCGTATATATTATATCAACTTGAAAACCTTTTTCCATTAATGAAAGAACGTCAGATGTGAAAACTGTAAAATTTGAGGTTGTCGAGCGACCAGTTCTAAAACCATGTTGCTCGTTATTTAATAATGGATTGATGACCGGTGCAAGTATATTAGTAACTAATTTTTCAAATAATTTTGGGATAGCAGACTGAATAGCAATACCTCTGTAGTTTTCTATCGCTGTTTTGTCACCTTTTTTGTGAATTGGTATCAGATACGAATTTTTCCAAGCTGATGGAAAAACTCCGGTGGATATAGATATGTTAAATATTGAAGTAAGAGGGTTTGACAAGGTGTAGCGACAATTGTAAAGAAATATTGGTGGCAGAAGGTCAGGACCAGATCCCTTCTTAACGTCTAGACTACTGATGCCCTGAAAAACATTTTCTACCGATAAATGAAAGTATTCGAAAAGCGGGTTGGTATTATTAACAAGGGGTGCAGGATTGAAATTAACATTATTAGAGGGTAACTCAGGGCGATAAATTTGTTGGAAGTTGTCAGCAAAAAAGTTACAAATTTCCGTGGGAGATGAAGACATTCTGCCATTCATACACATCGAAATCGGGTAACCTGATGATTTACGTTTAGTATTAATGAAGTCGAAAAACTTTTTAGGGTTGCTCATTATTGAGTTACCGATATTTTGGACATAATTATCATATGCCTCGTTTCCCTTAATCTTAAATTCATTCGCCAACTCATTATAATCATTTATAAGTGAGTTGTTGTCATTACCAGAGTGCTTAATTTTATGGTGCAATTTATTTCTCCGCTTGCGTAAATGTCTTAAATTACGGTCTAACCAAGGTTCTTTTAATTTGTCTTTTCTACGGATTTTCGGAATATGGTTGTCAATTATTTCAAAGATAATGGAATAAAAATCATAGATAATATTATCTAAATTATGCTGCTCCAACAACGTTTCCCAATCAATTATACTAAGGGCATAATTGATACCGTGGTAATCAGCGTTCATAAAATCATATACAATTTCGTTATTGTAAGTATTTGAGAATTTATGGTTGGAATAGGGTAGTTCTAAAACCAACGCGTTGTGATGGATTGAGTTTCGGAAAAGATTTTTTTCGTCAGTGGCAGAACGAACATTAATGGTGTCATAAGCATTAGAAAATGCTAAATCCAACCAATTACCTCTACTGTTGGGGTAACGAAAAACCTGGTGTAAGTCGTTCCCATAAAAAGTACTAATAAGGTCAAAATTTATGTCATCCATGAAATTGATAGGAAGAAGTTGGTTATCAAAATCATCGATGACAAAAGATAATGATGGTCGATTGAAATCACCCAAAATTACAATATTATCATCCTCATTCATAATTGTGAATATATCGTTACATATTGCAAAGAAATTATTGTATGAGGACTCGTCAGAATTTGGGGGAAAGTAGACCACACCTATGTAGGTATAATTTTTACCTGAGTGAACTTTAATAAATTGATGGTCAAAAGTTGAAAAAACCCTAGAAGATACCAATTGACTTGGTACATGATTATTGGTGGCGATTAAAACTCCGCCCCCTCTAGATTGACCCGTGGAATTATAATCACGGTCATTTCTATATACGGACCAAGTGCTATCAAGTATTTCTTCATTTTTGAATGAATCGTTTAACCAGGTTTCAGTGAAGACTAGAATATTAAATCAGTATCATACGCGAATTATATAGAGAGCGAATCCCTTCACTAAAAAAAGCAGATGGATCATGGGAAAGTTCCGCTACTTAGAAAGTAGCGGAACTTATTATGATAGGAAATCCCGGAAACCCTTAAATGAGGCAAAATCACATAGACCAATTTTTCTACTACCAATGATATCAAAACCTTTTGTAAAAATTGTTGTTAACAAGGCTGATGCTTATAATAGAAAATAAGAAACTGATTCCAAACCATCAGTTCGGTTTTTGGAACAAAGCATTCAGCAATTTACCCAGTGCAAAAGGTGTTAGAGGAATACCCAATATGTTCGACAATATTTCTGGACGTGGCCAATGCTTTCGATAAAGTTTGGTACGACGGTTTATTATTTAAACTTAAGAAATTGGTACCTTTCCAATTCCTGGAGTTACTTGAATCACGCTTAGGGAAATTAGGACTGGTGTGCCTTAAGGCAGTTTTCTGGGTCTATATTATACGTCCTTTATACAAGCGATTTTCCAGATTTAGATGGTGTAACTTTTACTACGTTTGTCGACTACACAGTACTACTGGCAGTGAGGTCAAGTGTTGAAGTTTCGGAAAAAAAGTTACAGGATGCAAGTAACAATATAAGCAAATGAAGAAATAAGGCTAAATGAAAGCAAATCTGTATATATGAATTTCACAAACAAAAGTTTAGTGAACCCACCACCATTGAATTTGAATGGTGCTAAAGTATCAATTCAAAAAACACGCTTAGTATTCTTAAAATTATATTCTTAAAACACAAAATACTTAGGTATGACTTTGGATGTCAAGCTCAGATAGAAAGAACATGTAAAGAAGAAAAGAATAGAATTAGAAAACAAATATAGAGAAAACTATTGGCTCCTAGGTGGTGGGTCTGGATTGCCAACATACAATAACGTGTTTATATAAAACCAAATGATAAGCTATTGGGTGATACCAAGCAAACACACATCAAATAAATACGAATTTTCCAGAACAAGGTCCTTCGTAATATGGTGGGTGCTCCCTGGTATGTGCGCGATAGTGATATATAGGGATCTGGGTGTCCTCCAAGTAAGTAAGTAGATAAGGAACTGTGCCATGAAACATAGGGCGCAAACATAGGGGCAATGTTGAGGCCTCACGAGTTATAGAAGGAAAGGTTTAGACAAAAAGACTAAAGCGAACGAGAACTCTCGAATAAGCCTAAAGTGCTGTGACAGCACTTCTGTGCCTTTCTTCACAGGATATACACGCAAAAACACGATAGAGCAAAACTATTGGCTAGTCAGTTTGATTAATTTCAGGAGTTTATGATCATCCAAGTCTGTTTTACGTTGGGTTAAAGTCCCCCATTATTGACAGGTCTGATGACAGATTGAGTTCGCTTATCACTGTTCTTCGATGATTTTTAACACTTGTATTTAAAAGCAAAAGCAGAAAAAAAAGAAATGATTTAATTTCTTTTTTTAATTTTTGTTTTTATTCTCCATTTTTAATTTCTACGAATTTTTTATTTTGTACATCAACACACTTGATGTGGTAGGAACGCTGCAAAAATCCACCGCAATCACAAAACGAACCTTTTCAGTAAGTTTTTTTACATTTAGTGCATTATTTAACCATTTTACAACAAATATAGAAGAATGAAAGAAAAAAGTAAAAATCGATGCATATTCAATATTGTTTTTCCCTTCTTTTATTAACTTCTTATGCTGGCTAATAAATAAAAATAGAGTACGATTATTTTTTTTTTCTTTTTTATTAAGTTCATTCCAATATAGTTGATGATTCAAAAATGTTTGGATAAATTAAAAATATATTTTAAATATATTTAAATAAAATACGTGTATCCATTCTGAACTCAATGTAAAAAAAAAGTCAAAAGGCCAAATTCAATGTCAAAAGACTTTATGATTTGATTATATGTGAACACCTTATTGTATATTGACAATCCAGACCTACGACCTAGGAGCCATTAGTCTTCCTTGTATTTGTTTTCTAATTCTATTATTTTCCTCTCTAAATGTTTTTTCCATCTGAGCTTTACGTCCACAGTTATACCTAGGTATTTCGCTCTGTTTTGGATTGATAATTTAGCACCATTCAAACTCAATTGTGGTGGTCTTATTAAATTTTTGTTTGTGAAATTTACATATACAGGTTTACTTTCATTAAGCCTTACTTTTCTTGTATTTGCCCATTAACTTACCTGCTTCCTGTAATTTTATGGTCGATTCTTCAGCATTAGATCCCACTGCTAATATTAATATTATTTCCCACTACTTTATCTTTAGCAAATGTAGCCAAAGTTTCATCATATAGTCAAATTTTGGACCTCAAATAATTTTGGGATAGAAAAGTTACTAAAATTACTAAAGTCACATGCGTGTCGTAGTCATTTGTCGTGGCGGCTCTGGTTCTGCGAGTTTCAGCCTGATATTTACACGTCAGCTAATGATAAGCGTCCCAGGTCAGGATGAAACATCATATGCCGATGACTGGGTAGATAAGGGCGGGCTTAGTCATTAATATGCGAACTCTGGATATCATGTGCCCTCCACTTTTAATTATTTTTCCTCCTTAATTATATGCCCTCCTTTTCTACATTATTTCTTATTCTGGTGATTCACTTTATCGATTTATTAGTACTCTTCGTTGCTTTTCACAACGAATAATACGTTTCTTTAGTAGTTCTCGTATGCTTGCCTTTTATATAATTATCATATGATACTTATTTAAAATTATTCTAATTTTAATTATTAAAATTTTCTATTTTCCTTTTGAGTATTTAAGAAGTCAAATATTTATTATTAAAGTCTATTTACGTTTGAATGCAGAGAATCTTGTATTTTTCCTTCCGAACTTCGTTGGCATCAGTACGCCAATAAGTCAGTAGAATGACAGAATTAATCAACTGCCGAATCACATCTAAATCCTTCCCCAAAAGTGTTCCTGGCAACAGAAATACATCGATAGTTTTAGCTTTAAGGAAAACCTCCTATTCGTGCTTTCTACTTAAAACGCCATTAGCATTCCGCGTGGAAATTCGTATTTTATTTACTGACGTTTTCCGAAATTGCTTCAGGGTTGCTAAATTTACTAGACGTTAGTGTAGCTTTTTTCTATAGTAATTGGTTTCAGTGAGATCTTGCCAATTCTTTGCATCACGTCTTGCATTGTTTCAATTATGCTACCGTCAATTTTTTTAGGTTTTTGCATTGTATTATTGTCAATTTCCTATTATTCATGCCTTTCTTAGGTCTTTTATCTATTAATTTTGTGACATTTTGGAAGCAACTTGTAAGTATGTAACACCATTTTTACCTTATTTGATATAAAAGCATTAATCGTTCTTGGAGTTCGTTCATGATTACCAAAAACCCGTTTAGGCCAATTCCTTTTCATTCTCTTTTTTTGTAATTCCTTAGCCACAAAACAGCCTCGGTATCTAGTAGGGTGTGCCTCGTTGCAGTTTGCGAACTTTGCCTAAAAATGATCTTTCTTATTATATTCTGTCGTCATGTGATTACTGGCATTCAACACATTTAGTCCCTCTTTGGCAAAATCTTTGTGCATGACCGAACCTCTGGCATCCCTTGCATTGCGGGACGGATCCACTATTTCTAAGAGGGTCAATTTTTACTCTCATGTGCTGAAGATATTCTATTTTACATATTTTATTTATGTCTTCGTTGTAATCGAAAGACAACATAAAAATGGGCAACTTTTTAATAGTATTTGCGTAATTTTCTTTTAGTTTTTTAATGTTATTTATAACATCTACCCATTTGAATCCCCCTCAGCTAGGCTAGATTGTAGATTCTAAGGGAACCGAGTGGGACAGGAGCATCCTCCCAAGCCACCGCAGCCATTTTTGACTTATTGTAGGCACCCCACCCTTCCGTCTAGGGACAACTGTTCCTGAACATTTAGGGACCCATGCCCAAGACAATTACGATGCCGAACAGCCAGTGCCGGACAGTCGCAGGGAATGTGCACGGCGGTCTCATCGCCACCCCCACAAAATCTGCACAGGGGGGAGCCCGACTTCCCCAGCCTATGCTGGTGGTACTTCACCGGGCAGTGCCCCGTGAAGAAATTCGCAATAGTGCAAACCCGGCTCCTGCTCATCCTCAGCAACTCCGCGGCGAATCCGCCGGAGCACGCCGGAAGAAACACTTTCGCATGACGGTACCCTTTCGTGTCCCGCCAGTTACGGCCGCATTCCACCGCGAGTAGGCAGGCAAGCCTGGCCCCCACGGCGGAAGAAGGCAGACTGCAAAAAGGCAGCGGCTGCACAAAGGCAGCCCCAGATCCCCTCCGCGCCAACACATCGGCAACTTCGTTGCCCGCATGACCACTATGGCCCGGCACCCAAATGAGAATCACTCTGTTCTCCGATGCCTATTCCCTAAGTGCAGCAAGGCAGCTCCAGACCAGCTTGGATGTAACCTGAGCTGAACGGAGGGCCAGCAGGGCAGCCCTGCTGTCTGAGAACACATAGATGGTGCGGTTTCTATACCCGCTTTCCAAATTGATTCTCAGACAGGTCTCTATTGCATGTATTTCGGCCTGGAACACTGTGCAATACGGGTCAAGGGTTGCATATATACGCGTATCCGGACTTTGTATACGCCCGAACCCACACCCGACTCCGTTTTGGACCCGTCCGCACACCACACGCTCGAACCCGACCTAAGTACCGGACCACCCCGATCCCACGTCCATCGATCGGGAAACAGAACCCTGTACCTGTGGTCGAAGTTGTACCGCGGCAGACAGGTATCTGACATGGTTATCCTTAGAATCGGATCGCCCTCAATGAAGTCTCTGTGAGTTCTGTGGGCCAACTTCAGCCCTGCCCCGTCCTCGCCAGAGAGAGGTCGGTAAGTCACCAGCCCAGCTTCTCTCAATATATGGAGGTGCAGTGGCGGCAATCCGGTCATCACCTCCAATGCAGCGGTGGAAGCAGTCCGCATCGCCCCGGTCACTCCCAGGCAGGCCAGCCTCTGTAGCTTTTCCAGCTTGGCCCCCACACCCGCCTGCTGAGCCTTACGGCACCATACAATCGACGCATAGGTGACGATAGGCCTAGCAAGGGCCGTATATAGCCACAGTGCTATTCTGGGACTAATTCCCCAGGTCCCCCCGATGAAGCTCCTACACGTCCACAAGGCCGCCGTAGCTCTCTCGATAACTCCATCGATATGGGTATTCCAAGAGAGACGATCATCCAGGGTTACCCCCAGAGACTTCACCTCCCTCGAGTAACTAATACGTTCACCAAACAGAATTAGGCTCGTTAATCTGTCCCTGCTTTTGCGTCTGGTGAAGGCGACCAAAGTGCTCTTGCTTGGATTTATATTTAACTCAACGCCTTTGCACCACCTTTCCACAACACGTAAATTTTGCTGTAGAAGATCAGAAATAGTGCTCTCAAATTTTCCCCGCACGACGAAGGCCACATCGTCAGCGTATCCCCAGACACGCGCCCCGGAGCCCCTGAGAGCAGCGATTAGATCATCCACTACAATGGACCACAGGAGGGGCGAAAGAACCCCGCCCTGCGGACATCCTTTTGCAGCGGAGATGAAGAGTATATCGTCAGCTATGGTGGACTTAATAATTCTATCCTGTAGCATCCGATTGACCCATCTGCTAAACGTCGCATCAATCCCTCGTTTGTGCAACGACTCACAGATGACATGATATGGGGTGTTGTCAAAAGCTCCCTCTATATCAAGGAAGCAGCCAACTGCCACCTCCCGCACTTCCAGTAAGTTTTCAAGGACCACCACCAGACTCTGCAGAGCGAGTACAGTAGACCTTCCCGACTGATAGGCGTACTGAGATTCATGCAAGGGATTGCTTCCCAGTGCATCGTCCCGTATAAATCTATCAATCACTTTTTCCATTGTTTTCAATAGAAAAGAAATAAGGCTGATTGAACGGAAAGACCTTGGGTGGTTGCTTGGTCGCTTACCCACCTTCGGAATATACGTCACTTTAGCCACCCTCCATGCCTGAGGGATGTAACCCCACGCATAGCTGGCACGAAAAATTTCCAACAGTGCTCTAGCGATATGTTCGAAACCCCTCTGCAAAAATGCAGGATATATCCCGTCATCACCTGGAGATTTGAAGGGCCTGAAAGAGAATACAGGCCATCTAATCCTGCCCATCGTGAAGACTAGACGGGATCGTTGCCAGTCATCCCTCCTGGGCCAGGATGCCCTCGGTTCGATGACTGCATTTGAGTGATTCCGAAGAATCTCCGAGTCAGGAAAGTGCGTTGACGCCATAAGCTTCAACGTCTGCTTTCCGTTCTCAGTCATGGAGCCATCAGGACGTTCCATTAGGCCCAACCCGCTAGCATACTTTTTGGAAAGCACCCTGTGAAGACGCGCACTGCTGGGGAGTTCATCAATGCCCTTGCAGAACGCCCTCCACGAGATTCTCTTCGCTTTCCTAATTTCTTTATTGTATTTTGTGAGTGAGGCCTTATACTCTTCCCACGAACCTGACGCCTTGGCCTTATTGAATAGCTTTCTGGTCTTTAGTCTAAGCCTTGAAAGCTCTTCATTCCACCACGGGCACTTCCTATTGCTCCGCCTCGGCTTAGCACGGCAGCTCCCGTGATAGCAATATATATTCTGCCAGGCCCCCGGAGACCATGATATCAAACCTAATCTGCCTATGATCGGACATGGATGTCTCATTTGAGACATGCCATCCACCAACCCTACTGCCGATAAATTCAGTGCAAGGGGTGATGTCAAGGACCTCTTCCCTAATTGCATTTATGAATGTCGGCCTATTGCCCTCATTCATAATCATTAATTTATTGCTATATATAAATTCAAGTAGGCACTCACCTCTTTTGTTTATATTGCTGCTTCCCCAGACGGTGTGGTGGGCATTGTCATCACATCCTATTATAAGTTGGAAGTTCCTCCTTCCACAAAAGTTCACTAGATCCTTCAGTTGCTCGTCCGGGTGGGCAGTGTCCCCCGGGAGGTAGGATGAGCACACAATGAACTCTGTCCAGCCCCCGCAGGACTTCACCTTCACCAACGCAGCTACCTGATCCTTAGAACAGTAATCTGGAATGGGAAAATACGTTAGCCTTTTACTAAACAAGATGCAAGCCCTAGGCCTGCCCCCAGTTGTATTACCATACAATAGCTCACCTGTTAGGCCCTTAACCTGATCCTTCACTATGTAAGGCTCTTGGATAAGGGCGATATCGAGGTGATCCTTCATAAATCTATGAGCCAGAACATCAGTAGATGCCCTAGCATGCTGTAGATTTATTTGGATGCACCTCACAGCCATATTATTTCCTCCGGCTCTTGTCTATGGGCTTTGGCCCTTTAGACAAAGGCTTTACATGAGCCTTACCTCCCATTGCCGCCTTTTTACACATCTTGGTGGGCGCCTGCCCTGCCACAGCCTCTTTTGCAGTCCCAGGTGCCACGCTAGCCCCTCCAACAGCAAATACCGAAGCAGTTCCGGGCTTCCCAATGGGCTTGAGCCCTTTTGGTTCCCCCGGGATGCTTGTACTTGGCGTGCTGGTCGATGGTCCTTCCGTTTCCCTTGCCGCCATTTTCGGAGCGACTTCAGACTTTCTAATGAGTTTTGGCTCTTTTGGTTGACCTGAAGTGCTCGTCGTTGTCGCGGTGGGCACTGGTTTTTTATTTTGTCCTGCCCTGCCGCCAGCACCTTGAGAGGATTTTCTTCCTTTAACCCGAACGGTAACACGGAAGAAGTTCAGGAAAAGTCGGAACTCCGCTTTCCGTAGATCTTCCAATCCGGAATCATCCACGGAAAAGGTGATGGAGCAGCCCCCGTCCTTTTCCTTATCCATCCTCAGCACCCTCCAGGAACTTATCTTGAGGCTGGGATTTTGCTTCCCTATCCTACTTAGAAATTTGTCCCTGGAGAGACTAACGGTTGTCTCGTCCTTTGGTACGTAGGTGACGCAGACATGCTGTTTGGGCATGTCGCCGCCATCCACTTCCACGACATCGCAATCGTCCCAAGGCTTTATCTTCCTGCAGACACTGGTTATCCGCTCCCTGGTGTTTTGATTGTTGCATGTTGCTGCAGTGAATTGTGGATGAGAGTCCACAACCCTATCCATTTCATCCATGATGGCTACTTTGATTTTCCCCATCTGGACTTCGGATATCCTTTCCTTTTAGCTAGGCTAACATTTAATATCTTGTGACTTACATGACGGATGTAGGTTTCTGACCATTACTTTAATTGGCCTCGTCAACTTATTTTCATAAGTATGCGATTCCAATTTAGCCTTATTACTCGTAACAGCTTTAGTTTTTAGTTATTGCTGTCCCAGCAATCTGAAATTTTCAGCCTTAGTTTACAGATCTCTTCGTTTAGCT